TGTGGCCTTACAGGCATTTTAACAACTGCAAAAAGACTGGGGACTTTTCCACAAAGCTTGGCCCATTATCATGGATCAGTAGGATTAATACAGTAAAAAAATTGCCATCCTACACAAAGCTATCTACAGATTAAGTGCAATCTCCATCAAAATTCCACCACAGTTGTTTGCAAAAATTGAAAGAACAATTTTAAGCTTCACATGGAAACCTGAAAAACTCAGGATAGCTTGAACAATCCTGAAAAATTAAAAAAAAAACATGCTAGAGATAACACTATACCCAATCTCAATTCTACAGTGGAGCTCTAGTACTAAAAACACCATGGCATTAGCATAAAAAATACACATTGATCAATGCAATCAAATCAAAAGACTTTACATAAGTCAACACATCTAAGGACACTTCGTGTTTTATAAAGAACCCACAAATACACCTGGAAAAATAGCATCTTTAACAGATGGTGCTTGTCAAACTGGGTGGCTGCATGCAGAAAATTGCAAAGAGATCCATACTTTGAAGCTACAAAACTAAAGTTCAAATGGTTTAAACACCTAAACATAAGGCCAGACACACTGAATCTGACAGATGAAAAGATTAAGAATGACCTTGAAGTCATTGGCAGAAAACACACTTTATGAATAGAAGACTGATTTCACAGGCACTAAGAACAACAATTAATGAAACAAAAAGCTTTTCTACAGGAAAGAACACCACTACCCAATCAAAATACTAGGCTACACAATGGGAAATGATTTTTATCCACTGTATATCCCATAGAGGACTAATATCTAAAATATATAAAAAATGCAAAAAACAAAAAAAAACAAGAAAGAAATCCAATTAACATGGGGGTACAGATTTAAATAGAGAATTCTCAAAAGAGGAAACTCAAATGGCTGAGATGCACCCAAAGAAATGTTCAACATCCACAGTCATCGGGGAAATGCAAGACAAAGTACTGTGAGATTTCAACGTATACTACTCAGAATGCCAAGATCAATAAACAAATGAGAGCTCATGATGGCAAGGATATAGACAGAGTAAGGAGAACACTCATCCATTGCAGGTGGGATTACAAACTTACACAGCCATTATGGAATTAGTATAAAGGTTCCTTAGGAAGCCACATAAAGATCTACCTCAAGATCCGGCTTGGTCATATTCCCAAAAGGCCCTACCTCCTACTACATATACTTTGCTCATACACGTTGTTTGCTGCTCTATTCATAATATTGCAATATTGAAAACAGCCTAGATGTACCAGGTATATGAATGGATAAAGAAAATGTGGTGCATTCACGCAATGGAATATTACTCAGATGTTAAAAAAAGTGAAGTCATGAAATTTGAAGTTGAATGTATGAATATAGGGGGAAAATCATCCTGATTAAGGTAACTGAGACCCAATAAAACAAATTTGGCATGGATTCACTTATGTGATGATGTTTGCTCTTAAGTTTTAGGTAAGCAGACTACACTACATGTGGCCCCAGAGGTTAGATATGGAGTAAGGGATTGTGGTGGGTGGTGGATCTCCCTATGAAGGGGAAATGAACACAGTTCTGGATGGGAGGAGGCAGTGGGACAGGAGGATTAAAAGGGGAGGAGTACAGGGGAGGAAGATTAGAAGGGGAGGGGTACAGGAGAGGAGTTGAGGGAGTGACTTTGCGGTGGAGCAACTTAAACGAAGGTCTGATTGGGGGTTCACATGGAAGCCTAATACAGTATAGGCTTCCTAAATTGCATACATATATGAAGGTGATCCAAATGTAATTGCCATATAATAGGGGATATGGAGCCCCAAATGGACATCTCCCTTAACCAGATGAAGCCTCCAAGTTTGAGAAAATGCCTACATAACTCATTGAACATAGGTAAATCGAGTTGGTGCCAACCTAGAGCCTTCACCTCTACTGACTACTGTTCACAGAACTGGAAGGCACTATGCATGGCACCAGAGTAGAAAGGTAATGCTCACCCAGCTATAGCCCTGTGATGACCTGCCTGTAAGATGTGCTAGTGCAATACTGGCACAAAGCTTGTGGGATTAACAACCAATGTCTGATTGTATTTAAGGCTCAATCCATTAGATGGATCCCATCCTGGGCACTGCTGCCTTGGTCAAGAACTTGAGAGTAGATAGGCCAGGGATCTAGGGCAAAACCAAATACTATTGTTCTTCTAAAGGAACGTATTGATAAAATGACTCCTGATGACATTCTGCTATTCTCACAGATCAGTGGTTTGCTCAGCCATCATCACAGAAGCCCCCTCCTTCAATAGCTAGGTATAAATACAGAGATCCACAGTGAGACAATGTGGAGAGAGAGAGAGAGAGAGAGAGAGAGAGAGAGAGAGAGAGAGAGAGAGAGAGAGAGACAGAGACAGAGACAGAGAGAGAGAGAGAGAGAGACAGAGAGAGAGAGACAGAGAGAGAGAGACAGAGAGAGAGAGAGACAGAGAGCTTATAACACTCAGTCCTAAATAGGATGTCTATATCAAATCCCTTCCATCAGTGCTCAGGAAACACTGAAGAGGAGGAGGCAGAAAGAGTGTAAGAGACTGAAGGGATGAAAGACACCAGGAAAATGACTCTTGTAGAAGAAAGTAAATGGAACAATTAGCTAGTCAGGCAGTGGTGGCTCATGTCTTCACGGCTTTAATCCCAGTACTCAGGAGGCAGAGGCAGGTGGATCTCTGTGATTTTGAAGCTATGCTGGTCTACAAAACCAGTTCTAGGACAGCCAGAAAGCTTTTATAGAGAGAAACCCTGTCTTAAAAGACCAAAGAGGAAGAAAGAAAGAAAGAAAGAAAGAAAGAAAGAAAGAAAGAAAGACAGACAGAAAGAAAGAAAGGAAAGAAAGAAAAGAAAGAAAAGAAAAGAAAAGAAAAAAGGGAGAAAACAATTAGCTGAACATACAGAATGCAGAATGGGAGCAAAGTTTTACCAACTACACGTCAGACAATGGCTAAGATCCAGAATCTTAATTTAATTAAGAAGTATAGAAATTAAATGTCACAGAAATATAAGCTTCAAACAACATGTAAAAAGTTGGCCTGAGTAGACAGACACCTTTGAAAGGATGAATGAAAGAAATGCAAATGGTCAATATTTATCTTAAAACATAGGCATGGCCCTGGACACCATGGTAGTTTAAATTAAAACTACTTTGAGATACCACTTCAGCCCTCACCCCAGGAAGATTGGCTGCCATCAACACATCTGACAACAATATTGGAGATGACGGTGAGAGGGATCAGCCCTTCTTCACAGTTGGTGTGGATGCAAACGAATTCAACCACCGTGGAATTCATATCGGCAATTTCTCAGAAAATTAAAACTGGATCTACCATATGACCTGTCTATCTTTCTCTGGGGTATATATCCAGAGAACCCCATATCATGCCTACAGATATTTGTACCCCCATGTTTATTACTGCTTTGTTTACTACAGCAAAGAATTACAATCAACATAGTTGTTCATCAACAGAGCAATCAATGTGTATGTGATATATATATATATATATATATATATATATATATATATATATATATATATATATATGTGTGTGTGTGTGTGTGTGTGTGTGTGTGTGTGTGTGTGTGTGTGTGTGTAATACGGAGATGTTTTGAATTCCTAAATAATATTGAAATTATAAAGTTTTCTGGGAAATGGATGGATATAGAATATATGCTATTAAGTGGGGTGATGCAATCTTTGAAAGGATAAAAACATATTTTACCCTCATATACAGAATCTAGCCAAATATATATGTGTCTGCATGTGTGTGTGTGTGTGTGTGTGTGTGTGTGTGTGTGTGTGTGTGTGTATAAACAAATGTACATGTGGGTACAGTATATCCTATGGAAAAGAGAACACAAAAGGCTAAATACTTGGGGATGAGGAATGACTGAATGCAGCCAATGAACATGAGTTATGAAAGAAGATATGGGTAAATGTTTATTTAGTTTTAATTCTGTCATTTTTTTATTTTTGGTTTCAGAACATGGCATTTTATGTAGAAATTATAATACCCAGCATGAAGCTCCATGGCTTCTATTCCAAATGGCCACTCTAACATAGAATCAATAAGACAATGTTAGTAAAAAAGTGCATGTGTCATATTCCAAATAATGTAGTTACATTTCTCTAAGCTTCATAGCATCAGTTTTTTAAAAAATTTGGTTTAAAAGCCAGAAATTATAGAAAATGATGTTAAATTTTCATTGTTCTACATACTAGCTTATAAGTCATCAGGATTTAATTTTTAGCAGTGCAAGAGACTTTATTTTGGATTGCTTCTTCAAAAAATAGAGCTACCTTAGTTTACTGTACTCTATTTAGAACAATTCTGGACAAAGATAAAAAGGACTAATCAGTTCTGCAAAGCACAAATTCAACATTTGCCTTAAACTGTCAACGAAAGCAAAAGGAAAGCCGTTTGGAAACCTACAACCATCCTTGGTCATTAGTGTCTGATCCTGTAAAGATCTCTCGCTGGTCACTAAACTTTACTTTAGAATAAACAAATTAGGTAGGAAACTAGATATGAAGTTTTAATTGTATTAAATTACTAAGGTAAGGACTGTAAGCCAATGACGCTAGAATGGAACCAAGAAATTTTCATAATGAATTTTTTGAAATATAATTTTTTGAAGTATAATACAAAATGGATTTTTGTCAAAGTCAGGAAATTCTTTTCTTTAAACGACCCTCATTGTACAAAAAAAAAATCACCATTGTTATATTTTGTTTAAATAATCACCTCATATCACACAAATATATTTCAAATATGAGAAGTGCATTGCTGCAACAACCTTTTTCCAAGTCTCAAAGTCTTGTTTTAGAATAAAACTATAATATGATTTTCAAAGGAAACCCATAAGTGCCTCTCCGGTAGAAGTTCAACATCTTAAAATGTTCAACAAATTGCAAAGAAACATGTCTAAATGCAGCACATACTTGAAAAGAAAACATATCTGTTTTTTAAATATTTTCTATTCTTGTCTCCAGGATTTTCCTCTTGCCAAATAGAAATTTACACCCACATTACAGTCTCTCATGTTCAGCCGTTCTGTACAGTTGCCACTTCCCAATGCAGAGACTTCTGTGGTAGATACAGCATTATATGTTCCAGAGAACTTTCCTGAGAAAAGTAGTGTATGGAGAAATAATACATCCTGGCCTTTTTCTCTGGCCTTGAGCGCCCCCTGTTGGTGCTGAGCGCCCCTGCAAGTAGGTTTGTGTCTGGGCTCACACTGAAGTCCTCTCCCTGTGTCTCTTGCACAGTAGTAAGTGGCAGTGTCCTCAGCTTTCAGGTTGTTCATTTGCAGGTAGAGGGTGTTTTTGGAATCATCCCTGGAGATGGTGAACCGGCCCTTCACAGACGCGCTGTACTCTGTTGAGTAACCATTAGCTTTGCTTCTACTCACTGCAATCCATTCCAGTCCCTTCCCTGGAGCCTGGCGGATCCAGTACATATAATAGTCACTGAAGGTGAATCCAGAGGTTGCACAGGAGAGTTTCAGGGAAGCCTCAGGCTGTACCAATCCTCCTCCAGACTCCACCAGCTGCACTTCACATTGGATATCTGTAATAGTAGAGAATTCTGGTCAGGAAAATGTTACACACACCCACTGTCCCTCTTACTCATGCCCACCTCTTACTCTTGCTCCCACACACTCAGCATCTCTTATTCCCATAAATAACCTTTTACAAGAGTTACAAAGAAAATACAGTTCAGCCACAGCTTCATGGTGAGAGGTCTGTGTTCAGTGCTGATCCCCGAATGGTAAGACCAGGGAAGTCAGGACTGGGCTCCTCTGCTAGAGCTACAGGGTCATGTCAGGGTTCGTTTTCATGAGCAGAGGGAAAGCTAATTTGCATTTCTTCCTGCTGTATCATCAGCTCTAGGGTTGAAGTAGAAGATGGTGCAGACTTTAGCACAGAATGCAGAGATGAAATGGGTGAGTGAGGTAGGATTAGCAGTGTTACACTGCTGCTTATTGTGTGCATGTGATAAACTCTTCAGTGTATTGTGATTTAACCATGTCCACAACTCTGCTTCATAAATATAATAATTATTTCAAAAATTTAAGGATAATTGATATGATGCTCAATTATCATTGACTAGAAATATTAAAGTTAAGAAACTCCTTTGAGAACTTAGCTCAGTAGCAGGCACAAGTTCCTAGACTTGATCCTCTTTTTTGATGAATATACATCTCCAGTATTTGATAAGTGGCAAAGCTTATTGAAATTCCATTTTACACTTGTTTGGCTAGCATACATTTTTCTGTTTTGTATTTATCATTGTAGTCATCAAATCACTTTTAATTTTAATATCCTTAAAGGAAGCACAATTTCCGTGTCTGGGACTACCAAGGAGTCCACTTCCAGGTATAACTGAATATATTGTTTTATTTCTAATTTTTAAGAACTTCCATATTGATTTCTACAATTTCTGTACCAATTCACCTTCTTAGCAGAAATGTGTTACTTTCTTTGTTTCTTCACTGTTATTTTACATTTGTTTTCTTGATAAAAACCATTCTGATTTTAGTGAAGTGGATTAAAGACATACTTTACATTTTCTACTCTCTGGTGCCTAAGGATATTGAACATTGTTTCATATATGTATTGACCATTCATATTTTTTCTTTGGAGAATTATTTGTGGTTAATTTTTCTATATGTTGATTTTATCATTTGGTTTTTTTGGGTAAAAGTTTTGGTTTATTATAGATTCTAGATACTAATATCCATCAAACAGAGTTGACAAAGACTTTTCTCTTGTTTTCTAGTAAACATTTAAAAATATCTAATACCATTTGTCATTAAGTAATGGCAAATTTATTATAATTTGAAATTTCGACTCAACCAAGGAAGGATGGATGATATTGAGAAAATAAGTGACACCAAATTCTGCCGATGTGTCTGAAGTGGAATCTTTCATCATTGTTGGTTGGAAAGTTAATGCAGATGCAATAGAAATCAGTGTGATGGCTACTCAAAGAACTAAAACAAAATGGAAATAAAATATATTCACAATAATTATGGAATAGAATCTTCCTCATTGTCCATGAACTGATGAATAGAAAATAGAAATATGGTAAATATGCACAGCTCAATTGCACTTGCCAGTGAAGAAAAATGAAATCAATTTTCAGGATAATCGGTAAAACCGGGAAACATTTTTGAGTGAGGTGACCCAGGCTCAGAAAGGCAAACTTCACAATTTCTCATTTATATGAGGATCTTAGTTTTAAATTTTTTGATGAATGGGTTTTAATTTAGTATGGTTATATATACTTACATAACTTGGAAACCACTTATAATAGGCATGCCAAACATGAATTTTAAAACGTTTTGTTATATAATATCTGGGAAATTTTCATCCATGTAGGTAATATATTTTAATGATAACCAAACTCGATCAATGCCACCAGACACTTCCCAGAATCATAAATATTTCTCCCTCCCAAGTTCATGCCCTCTTTTCAATTAACTAATAACCCAGCACAGAGTCCAATTAGTTCTATAATGTGCACCTGTGTGTAGGACCATCCCCTAGGGGCATGGACAACTTATCAGATTCCATCTCCACAAAGAAGAGTGATTCTTCCTCAGTAGCAGCCATCTGTCAAAAGGTTCTAGCCAAGGTTGGGCCTCAGAAACCTTTCTACCATCCATTCTGGCGTTTTTGACTAGCTTGATTTTGTGTAGGTTGTGTGTAAAAAGCCACTGTGCCTCTGAAACCAAGTGTCCAATGGTTGTGTCATGTCAGGAATGTCAGCACTTCACAGAACTCCTTCCCATCCTCTGGCTCTTAAATTCTTTCCATTCCCTCTCCCATGATATTCCCTAAGCCTTTGATTGGAAAGTTAATACAGATGATCTATGTACTTATGGTATAGTGTTAACATGTCTTCCCAGTGAGAAATGACTTCTCACATTTAGAGGTTGATGAAGGAAAACTCTTTAATAATAGCGCATGACTATTTCCGGCTAGTTCACAAAAGAGATCCAGCCTCTCAGACAGAGACATTTACCACTGTATATGGACCTGAGACTTATACATTCCACACATACCGCCATCCTTGAGTTTCTCTCAGGCCCCAGGTTACACTTTGAAAGATTTAAACAGAGACAGCAGACTGCAAGTCTGGCCACCTGGACAGATTAGAGATTTACACAGTGGAGATATGGTCAGAATCATTTCTCAAGTACAACCATGTTGTTCTTTTCTAATAGTTGTTACCTAGGATCATGTTGACCACCTGGAATTATATGGAAAAAGACTTAATGGTGGTGTCATCTGCTCTGGCCAGAGCTTCCCTATAGAGGCATATTCTTTAATTTGGGAGAGAGCTCAATGGCTGCTTATAAACCAAGATAGTCTTCTTTTGTTGTGGAAATGGAGCCTCATTGGAGGGCTCCCTCATAAGCAAACATTTACAGAAGTTGTTTCCCAGAAACTCTAAACTTCAATTATGCTATAGACTTTTCTAACAAGTCAGGTCACTATACTACTCATCTTACAACCAGATTAATGGCAGTGTTCCTTTCACTAAATTCTATTTTGTGTTACTTATTTTTTTCTAAGTTAGTTGATATTGAAGCCTTCATGACATCAATTTTACTACTTCAGGGTTCTCCTGCATCACTGCTGGGTGCTCAGAGTCACATATTCTCAGTGTGTGGACAAGTTATGAGTTAATACAGTTTTCCTGATCCATGGGAAGAAAAACTTCTCTGACCAAGTTTGACAGCAGCCCAAACTAAGTGTGTAAACATAGATGTGTGGAAGGCAGTTTGAGAGTACAGCCATTGAAAACAATAACACCAGCAGTTTCTCCATCCCTAGGGCCCATGAGCTTCCAGACCCGGACTTCCAACAGAGCTACAATATCAGATACTAAGTCCCTCCTGTGGGATAAATCTCAATCACAACAAGAAAGTCATTCATCACCCCATAAACATCACGCCACGATTGAACCAGTGGGCTCACCTTACTGGTAGCTTGATATTGACAGTACCATGCTTGACATCTAACCCAGATCCATAAGAAAACGGAAGTCACGGTGCTGTTGTTTTGTTTTGCTATAATCATTGTTCTAGAGCTCCCCAAGGACACAGGCCACTGCTATTGTTCTTGGTTATTCCCCTGATCGAGATGGTAAGACCTCATTGATTAAGATGTCATACATTCAGGATACAGGACACAAGTAACTCAAGCTGGAACTGATTTGGAAATGCCCTTCTAGCTGACTGGTGTTGGTATTTCCAAAGGAGTCTATGCAGAGTACAGAGGGTAAAAAGTCATCAATAGTATTTCCCAGATGTGCACAATCTACAACACTTCCTTGGCAAGACAGATGTGTTCACTGGCAAACTAGTGGCAAGGCTTTTTTGGGGTAACCAAACTTTCTTTTATTTGAAATTGAGTTATGAGACAAAGGAGGTAATACATTCCTGGTTATAATTTTTTTCACTGAAAATAAAATTTTTACAAATATATTCTGATCACAGATCTCCACTTATCTCCTCGTGAATCTAATCTTACTTCATTACTTTAGAAAACAAACAAGCAAATAAATCAAACTTAAACAAACAATAATAGAAAAAAAGGAAAAAAAAACAAGAAGCATGGACACACACACAACACGAATAAAAACAACAACGGCAACAACAGTAAACTCATGATAAGCAAAAGACAAGGTAAAACAAAAAAATAAAACAAAGCAACAAAACAAAATTGTAAACAAACAACAACCCTCCCCCAAACCCTAACAAAGCATATGAGACAAAACATCTCCAAAAATATCATTGAGTTTGTTTTATGTTGGCCATTTACTGCTGGGCATGGGGCCTGCCTTTAGTTGTGGCTTATGTGTCCACAGAGACGCTATTGGAAGAATCTGTTTTTCCTTTGTTAACAGTTGTCATTTGGATATATCTGTATTAGGGATGGGAGCTTGTGTTACTTTTTCTTCTCAGCACTGGGCCCTCACATACCTTGTACCTGTGCAGGCCTTGTTCATTCTACTATACTCTGTGAGTTCATGTGTGTGTCAGTCCTGTTGTGGTTGGAAAACGGCTCCATTTGCTTGGTATTTTCAATCCCCACTGGTTCTCATATTCTTTCTCCCACACCTTCTGCATTGATCCCTGAGCCCAGAGTGGAGGAGTTTGATGAAGACACTCCATTTAGGACTGAAAATAGACAACTGTGGAGTGCTAAACGAAACATGGAGAGTACCTGCGCCAAGGATTAAGGTACATCATGGAAGATGAGATGGATAGATTCTAAGAGCCAGAATATGGAGAAGAGTGCCATGAAATGTTGTCTTTTGGTGTGACAAGGCCATCACAACCACGAACACTAAGAGGATTTGGGCACCATGCCTAGAGAGTTGGTTCTAGGCTGCATCAGATAGCTAGGTCGGCATGAGCCAGGAGCAAGCCAGTCAGCAGCTCTAGCTGTATCAGTTATTTTCTCAAACATTGTATGTATTTTTGTAACATCTGTGCTTTGTATAAGTGGCATTTGTTTTCGTCTTGAAGATATTTTTAATATATACGTCTATAAATAACCAAACTAGGGTTGAGGGTGTTGCCTGTTGTACTGGGATCATCTGGGACCCCACAAAGCATTAAAACAATGTGGCTTTACCTCCCATGTGATTGAAGCAGAAAGGTCTGCAGGACACATCAAGAAGAGCAGAGATTCACACATGTCTCGTCTTTTCATATT